GAACTAGATATGTTTACTTTCTGCACCACATCCTTCCATGTTTTAATTTCATTTTCTTCCATTTTTCATTAATATTTGAAAATTCATATCAATTTGAAAATTCATATCAATTTGAAAATTAAATATTTTTTAATGGGAGTTTTTTCTCCTACTTCATATTGTTGTCAAGAAAAATATAAAATTGATACATAAAACATTTCATGCATTTTAATATTTTTTATGTATTTTTTACTTTTATTGCATTTTATTTCTTTTATGTTGATCCATGAGTTTGTAGAATTTTGTTTAGGTAGTTCCCTTAACATTTTTAGGCCATTCTTTTTAGGATAGTTAGATATAAGTTTTAGCTTCCCCCTGGATTTATTACATAATTTTGTAATGAGTTTTAGGTTAGTTTTGATTAGATGACATTAGGTTGTGTAGAACTAGGTTAATCCTTAACATAGGTCCATAATAACATTAGAATTTTGGGTTTCTAGGTCAAGTTAGACATTGGGGCATATAAGGGTATTAAGGGTAGGTATGTAGGATCCCTTAGAAATTATATTAGATTTTAATATAGTAATATACTATTTTTTAGATGATTTTTGTAGTGGATAATTGTTTGTGTTGTCCTTGTGGGCTTGAATTTTTGTTTGCTTTGCTTGGTGGGCTTGGAGAGCTTGGGATTGCTTGGAGGAGCATAGTAGGAGCATTGAGGAGAATTGAGGAGCTTGAGAGCTTGATCTTATTTGTTTTGTTGATTATTTTAGGGTTAGGGATTAGGAAGAGTTTAGACTTAGATAACTTCTTTCTTAAACATGGATGGTATCTTTCACCTCCATTCCTCCCTATGATTCAAAGTCCTTCCATGGTATACACCTCTCTCCTTTGGAGGGATAAGTGATTATACCTAGGAAGTAGAACTTTTGAGGGAACCATTCCTTTGATGTTGAACCCTTATAGGTCACCTTTGGTGATCAATAAGCAGTTCAATATCCCCCAGCTTATCCAGTAAGTGGTTTCCTCTGGTTTGATTATCTTGAGAGATGCTGAGCTTGAGCTTGAAGATGAAGACTCCATTTAAGAGTGTAGAAGGGGATGAATCCTTGAGTATTGCCATTCCAGCTGAAGCTTGAGGAGCAACAAGAGTAAAGATACTTGAAGACCCCTGAGGATGAAGTAAAGACTGAAGGATGAAGTTGACACTTCTAAGTGATTGAGATTGATTTTGAAGAGCTGAAGCTTGAAGAACAAAGGAAGTTGATACCTGCTTTGATACCTGGAGATCCTGAAGGAGACCAGTTTAACACTTATGATTGATAGTGAAGCCCAAGGGAGAAGATAAGTTGAAACTTATGTTGAAAGGTTGAAACCTGGAAAAGCAAATTGATACTTGTCAAGAGTGATGGAAGTCTGAAGACTGAGTTGCTGCTGGAAGAGCTGAAGCTTGAGGTTGAGAGAGGAGTTGATTTGTTCTCTTGTCTTTTTCTTTACTGTATTGATGTGTTTTGTTTGACTTGCTTGATGCATTAGAATAAGTTCATATCTAGACTAGGTAGAATCTAGGAGCATGATTGCACTAGAGGTTGAGTTGCTCCCTCTGCTTGTATTGTTACTGTGTGGCTTTGCTTGCGGGTATTCGGTAGAGCCCAGCTCCCTTGCCCATGTGGTTTGTTTGCCTGATGGCATTTCATTTCATTTTTTCTGTATGATTGCAGTTTACTGTATATTGCTTGATAGCATGATGTTTTACATTTCAGTATGATTACTGTTCTCCATTATGGCTTGAGGTTGAGATGAGCTTGTGGAGGCTGAAGCCCCACACACATTTCCTCCCTCACTTGCATTGCATGCATTTTAGTGTTAAGCTGATGCTTTGTTTGTTTTGGTGTATCATTGACATGATCCCTTAGGACTCTCATTTCCTTTGATAAGGGATTGATGATAGAACTTTAGGTTGAAACCTATGCATGACAACTTCTAGGAGTTCCCTGTTCAAACCTCAACCATAGGATGAATCCATGGCATGACAACAGTAGGACTTGATTGTCTCCCTCCTAGCTGGGCCTGTTCTCTTCTCATCTCAAAACAGTTTAAGATACAGTAATCATGAATGATTTCTTTCGTACTTTACGAGCCTTAAGCTATCTGGGAAAGGATTGTGGGAGAGTTTCTTTTCCACAGTCTGGATGCTTAGTATGGTACCCTTTGGGTGACATGCGACGCATTCACTCTCAGGTCATAGTCTCTAGTACGATTGAAATCGCAAACACAATAAAAAACACTTCTTTCGTAAAAGACAGGAAATAAACCGTAGTGTCCCGAACTACGTGAGCTCTGATCTCTCATACCTGTTGAGAGTACGTAGGCACAATACTGATGTATTGACGAGCTACCTTTCCCCATAACCCGTCGTAGGCCGAACTACGTTGACTCTGATTTCTCGTTCTCTGATGAGAATACGTAGGCATAAAGTGCGACGCTTTGCCGAGTCATTTTCTTTTCTGTTTAAGCCAGCCTTGATAGGTAGATAGATAAAACCAACCCGTCCAAGTAATCACAACGAGCGAGGATCCCGCCGAGTACGACGGACATGAGGGGTGTTAATACCTTCCCCTTGCGTAACCGACTCCCGAACCCAGACAATGGTTGCGATGACCTTGTCTTACCCTTTTTCGTCAGGTTTTTCCGATCATTTAATTTCCCGCTCTGAGGGATAAATAACGAAAGGTGGCGACTCTTCTGTTGTGCCGGCACCTTATTTTCGCGCAAGCGACAAAGAGCAGTAGAGAGTTGATGATACATCAAAGAAGATATGCAAGCGAGATAGTTAAGAGATATGAGATGGAAGACTGCAATCCGACTTTGACATCTACTGAACCAAGACTGCAATTGTAGAAATAATCTAAATATGATAATGTTGACCCAACTCAATAAAGAAAACTTATTGGGTAGTTAACATACCTTTGTCACACAAGGTCTGATCTAACATGCAATATAGGTATGATGAAATGAACTATCGACTATGACATTTTGTTTCATGCAGATGATGAAGGAAAAGAATGAAAATTAGTGTGTTACACCGACTTAAGTTGGTGTAGTGATGTTGAGGATAAAAAATCCACAACTGACTATGTGTTTACGTTAGGTGGTGCACATATTGCTTGAAAATTAAGAAAAGAGTAGTGACATTGTCGTCATGTGAAGCACAATACATAGCTGCTTATCTCTATGCAGATTAAGCAACATGAATTTTCAATTTGGTCAGAGAAATTATAGCGAAGAATCATGGAGCAATTACCATAAAGATCGATAACATGTCTACTATCAATCTGGCGAAGAATCTGATAACATATGGAAGAAAGAAGCACATCAAATGAGGTTCCATTATCTTCGAGAGCAAGTAGCAAGTGGGAAGCTAAACTTGGAACACTGTAGAGCTGAGAATCAAATTGCACACATCATGACGAAAGGTGTGCAGGTCGAAGTGTTCAAGAAACTAAGATATATGTTGAATGTAGATAGCTTAGACACAATGAATTAGGTGATGTGTTGAGAGTGTAATTCCTTATATTGAAGCATGTTACTCGACATGAGCAAGGAGTTGTCGAAACACTTAGCTGTCGAAATGTCGAAGAACTGTGTATTTGACAGAACTTAAGACTTAACTTAATTTTTTTTGTTTTAGCTGAGTTAGTTAGGTTAGTTTGAGATTGCTTGGTGAGCAAGTAATCTCAGCCTATAAATAGAGAGTAACCCTATTATTGTAAACTGTGGAAAATAATACAGTTGCACAGTTGAATTAAATTTTCATTGTAAAAAATAGAGAAGTTTCTCTGCACAATTATTCTTCTCCCCCTTTTCTCCAAAACCCTATTTTCCTTTCTTCCCAATTTCATTTTTTCTTTTCTTTTTCAATAATCATTACACAACAGAATCATCTTACATTCAAGACGTTGTTGATTCTCTCGAGTGAAGAGTGAAGAAATCAATCGACGTGATTAATTCTTACTCATCATGATTGATACAAAATTCTCCATAAATTTGGTATAATTCCGAAACTATTTACAATATAAATAAAGTTTTTCAAATTTGTTAAACTTTATTTTATTATAAAGTAAAATAGAACAAGACCTCATAAAGATTTGGATATTATATATATATATATATATATATATATATATATATATATATATATATATATATATATATATATATATATATATATATATATATATATATATATATATATATATATATATATATATATATATATATATATATATATATATATATATATATATATATATATATTTGTTTAAAAAAAACTACTTTTTGTGTTGCAACGTCTTTTATTTAAAATATGTTGATCATGAATATGGTCAACCGTAACACAATCCGTATCAATCACGTATTTTGTAGCTGCGGTGCGTTCGAAGGCAACGTGGACTATCTACATCATATAATCGCGTCGTAAACTACACCACAAGGTTTCGCTTTTCTACAACTCAAAAAGACGAAGCAGCCTAACTACAATGTTCAGTTAAAGTCATTTTCACATTCCAACGTAGCTCTTGTGACGATGATTAAGAAAAAGAAAAGTGCTAATTTGCTTCGCTTCCTAATCATCCACGATCCATGATTCCATTCTTACTACACTTAAAATAAATTTCATTTTACAATTCTTGTTCAAAAGGCTAACTTAATCACCTAATTAATTTTAATAATTATTTATTTTTATTTTAAAAAAGTATTACCAGACGTGGCCAATTTCTACTCCAAGCGCAAAGACTGTAATGGTGTGGCATTTTTTTGCCTCCAGAGTCCATTCTGACCATTCAGTTTGCTTTATCAAAAATACAAACACGAAAACTGATATACAAAAAACAATTGCATTATAAAAAAAGAATAACAAACGCAGAGCTTAAGAAGTCGTGACAGGCACGCGAATTAAAAACAAAGCGAGTTTCAGAATTCAAATTCATTAGCAAGAGAAAAAGATTTTGCACACTTCGGAAATGTGGCGTTGCGTGTTTCGCACTATTTCCGAGAGATCCAATCCTAATATTCAACCACTTAGATCACACCTTTCAAGATTTTTCTCTGTTAGTACCAATCATTTCCTTTTCCTCTCTCCATTTTTTAAATATTTTATTTCAATTTAGCATTCTTTCTTCAACCCGAGGTTGTATTTGTGGTTTCACTGAAACGGCTTCGTTTTGGTTGTTGTTGTTGTTGTTGTTGTGCAGAGTGGTGGGAATTCGTCGTACAATGTGGTGGATCATAAGTACGACGCGGTTGTTGTTGGTGCTGGTGGCGCAGGATTGAGAGCTGCTATTGGACTTTCGGAACATGGCTTCAACACTGCATGTATTACCAAGCTCTTTCCAACTCGCTCACACACTGTTGCAGCTCAGGTATGTGATCCTTCTTATCTTAGACTGATTTCCTTTTCATTGGTTATTTTTTGTTATTGTGAGTTTTGGTTGCTTACAGTGTATGAAACTTAACCACTCTGTATTAAAGGATTATTGAATGTGTAGTTCTTTGATCAAATCACTTCTGGATGTGTGTTTAGCTGTTTGAATTGATTCTAGTTTATTACTTACAAAACTTGTATGACAAGTCATACATTCATGGACATGGGACATGAGTTTGATTTTTAAGAAACTAATAAGGTTAACCTTAAATCTTTGTACTAATTTTACTATTTATTCATTGAACTTGTTATTGATCAAATGATTGTTTTTAGAGAAATATTTAGGCATATTATATTTTTTAAAGTATCCATTTGGTTGTTATAATAGGCGCAAAATGTAATTTATCCTAACATCATAGTCATAGGTTTGTTTTAACAACATTATGTCATCTTTGTGTGACACATTAAACGGTTTTTCGAATGAAAGACACTTGAGAGTTTTATGAAGAAGAATGACCAGCTTGTAGGATATTATTTTACAATAATCAAGAAGAATGACCAGCTTTTGTCCTTTAGTTTTATGTTTTAATCTACTTAAATAATAGGTTCATGAAATATAAAGTATTCGATGGTGCCTCAAATTGAAATAAATGTATGTTTAGTTTCCTTTGAAGCACTCAGAGTTGATTCTGGATGTGTTGACATGATATTAACTTGTTTGGTTGCTCTTGAGTAGAATTGATTATGCTTTTCAGAATTGATTCTACTTGATTTTAGCATTTGTAGCTTTTGAGTCTAAATGCGATTTCTACACTAAAATATAGTGTTCAACTCACTTTTTAAGCATTTCATCCAAACATAAATCACTTTACCTTCAACTCACTTTTAGTCAGAATCAATTTTAGATAATCAATTCACTCAAAATCAATCTTCTTCACTACAGAACCAAATACACATACATCTGGCTTCTTTTGAAACCCGAATATATTGGCTATGCTCATGCATGAGAATAAAATTGTATGCAGGGTGGTATAAATGCTGCATTGGGAAATATGACTGAAGATGACTGGAGGTGGCACATGTATGATACAGTCAAGGGAAGTGATTGGCTCGGTACAGACTTACTCATTCTTAGAAATTTTGTTTTACTGTTGGCCTGTAAAGTTTTGATATGATTAGAAAGAGTAGTTTTCCATTATAAACGTAGTGGTGGGTTGAGATTCTTTTATCATTTGCTTTTTCTTTTGTGGATGCTAAAATACAAGCTCTGTGTTCTGCAGGAGACCAAGATGCAATCCAATATATGTGTAGGGAGGCACCAAAAGCAGTCATTGAACTTGAGAATTATGGATTGCCATTTTCACGAACCGAAGATGGAAGAATATACCAGCGTGCATTTGGTGGTCAGAGCTTGAACTTTGGAAAAGGTAAATGTAGATATTGGGGTAGTGATGTTAGCTTTTATACTCCAAGAATTCTGATCTTGACTTCCTTATGTTGCTATTCTATAGGTGGTCAGGCATATCGTTGCGCATGTGCTGCTGATCGAACAGGGCATGCTTTACTGCACACTCTCTATGGCCAGGCTATGAGGCATAATACACAGTTTTTTGTGGAATATTTTGCGCTGGATCTATTAATGAACAGTGATGGTAAGATGCAGCACAAAAAAAAAAACACGTTGTCTGTCTGTTGGAGTTGATGGTAAAGTTCACTAGTTTTCCATAATGGAATGCAGGTACTTGCCAAGGAGTAATAGCCTTGAATATGGAGGATGGAACACTACACCGTTTTCAAGCTGCTTCAACAATTTTGGCCACTGGGGTACACGATTCTCTATTGCTTTTTCAACATCAGATTTTAATTTAGGCATTTAACTTATTATGGATATATGATTATCACTCTTCTGTATTATGTTAGGGTTATGGTAGAGCATACTTTTCTGCAACTTCAGCGCATACATGCACTGGAGATGGCAATGCCATGGTTGCTCGTGCTGGACTACCACTCGAGGTTTCTTTCGTACCTTTGCAAATTCAATATTAAGCTTATACCCTATGTAGTGAATCTTTGATCACTCACTTCCATTGTCGTATATTCCGTAGGATTTAGAGTTTGTGCAATTTCACCCAACAGGCATATATGGAGCTGGTTGCCTTATCACAGAAGGTTGGTATTTTTTAGCTTACATATCGTGTACTCAGTCCAACTAAACTGCATTATACAATGTTTCTCATTTTCTTTCTTACACTTTGTAGGCTCTCGTGGCGAAGGTGGAATTCTTAGGAACAGTGAAGGTGAGAGGTTTATGGAAAGATACGCTCCTACTGCAAAGGATCTTGCATCAAGAGATGTAGTTTCAAGATCAATGACTATGGAGATTCGGGAAGGTCGTGGTGTAGGTATGCTGGCTTTAAATTAATATATTTATGTTCTGATAAAACATTTATATTAAACATACTTACTGCTATATTACTCAAGTGAAACCAGTTTTTTAGCATATTGATTTGTATGTCAAGTTTGATTTTTCTAGAAATACCCATTCCTGAAAGCGGCCTTTCTTTTAGTTGGAGTTAAAATTTTTACCTTCCATTCAAGTTGGACATTTTGTTAGTAATGATAGTGGAAATTGTTTGCAGGACCTGAGAAAGATCACATATATCTCCACTTGAATCACTTACCCCCAGATGTTCTTAAGGAGAGACTACCTGGTATATCTGAAACTGCTGCGATTTTTGCTGGTGTGGATGTTACAAAGGAACCCATTCCTGTTTTACCAACTGTGCATTATAACATGGGTGGTATCCCCACTAATCATCATGGAGAGGTACATTGTTGAAACATGCTTTGTAAACTTTGAAGTAAGACCTCCAATTGAAAAAGAAATAGAAAGCCAAAGGATAGAAAATATAACAAATGGAGATTAAAAAACCGACGAAAAATGTAGCATAACAATCAAACTTCCCTTCTTGTATGTAACTTTATTGTAGAGCAGATGTTTACCGTAATCACAAACTAGTGCTCTTTGCATTTTGTACATGTGAAATTTACAAAGAGCATATGCCAAAGAGACTAATAACTATTTGGGTTTGTTTTTCTAACCACGACATTCATATTCTAGCCTCGTTGGAAGTATTGGATGTATTGGGTTACTTGTGCAGCAAGAGCAAAAGTTTCAATCTTGTTATTTGAAATTTTTGTTTCATTATTTCTTTGAACAAAACATGAAAAATACGGACACATTATTCTAATATACAGTTTTTTTATTCAGGTGATTACCATTAAAGGTGACAATCCGGATGAAATAGTTCCGGGGCTAATGGCTGCTGGGGAAGCAGCCTGTGCTTCAGTCCATGGTGCCAATAGGCTCGGTGCAAATTCACTTCTGGACATTGTTGTCTTTGGTAGAGCCTGTGCAAACAGAGTCGCAGAAAACCAAAGGCCAGGCAAGATTTACTCCCACTTATCAAAATAGACTGTTCACTGAAGTCAAGTGATAAAAGGTAACATGTTTTCCATTTCGCAGGAGAAAAACAAAAGCCTTTAGAGAAAGACGCTGGTATGAAAACAATCGCTTGGCTTGACAAATTGAGAAATTCAAATGGATCATTGCCCACTTCGAAAATTAGGTTGAACATGCAACGAATAATGCAAAACAATGCTGCTGTATTCCGCACACAAGAAACATTAGAAGAAGGTAAGCCATTTTTTCCAATAGTGCTTCATATTCTTACCCCTTCCTCTCTTTCCCTATGTGCATATTTCATTTTCACTTATGTATGTTCTCTCTAAGTTTAGTCTGATGTGTGACAGGATGTCAATTGATTGATGGAGCATGGGAGAGCTTTCATGATGTCAAATTGAAGGATCGTAGTTTGATATGGTAAAACATTTTTTTACCCTATGTTACATTGTGTTATAGTATTTAAAGGAATATGCTTGTTCATTTTGAAAGTTTCTTGACTAATAATCCCAGGAACTCTGACCTGATTGAGACTATTGAGTTGGAAAATCTTTTGATAAATGCCTCCATTACCATGCACTCTGCTGAAGCCAGAAAAGAAAGCAGAGGTGCTCATGCCCGAGAAGACTTCACGGTTAGTATGCTATGTGTTATTATCTTGTGTAAATTTACACCATTACTAGTAACCAGTAACTGTTTAATTGAATAACTTTCTTAATTTTGCAGACAAGAGATGATGAGAAGTGGATGAAACACACATTGGGGTAAGTCATGTTTCAATTGATTTGTTAATGCAGCTCTAGAGTTGAGTAAGTTCCCTTAGGCCTTCTGATTTTAAGAGCACCAAAGCTCTTGTCTCTCTTAAAACGTTGAAGCAGTTATGCAGCTAATAAACTAGGCCACAGATTTGTGAAATAATATGGATAGACATTATCCGGGTAGTATTCCTTCCACGGACAAGCCTATTGAGCATGCATATAAATGTGTTGAATATATTCACTGGAATAGTTGAAAAACGTATAACTGTTATTTGTTAATTTGATTATAATCTTACCGACCGCAAGCGTAGCTTATAGTTTGGTTAGTAACCCAATAGGTTTCTGGCAAAGAACACGGCTATGTTAAGTGCAGAGGTTGTCGGTCAGCTTGCATCAGAGAAATGAATATGATTTATTGGATTTGTAACTGTTATGTTTTTTATGATAAAATATTGTCTGCGAGTTGCATCTGTTAGCTAAGCTTTTATGCATTAATTTTGCAGATATTGGGAAAATGAGAAGGTTCGATTAGATTACAGGCCAGTGCACATGAATACTTTGGATGATGAAATCGAATCATTCCCTCCTAAAGCTCGCGTCTATTAAATTGTTAAAATACCTGCACATTGTCCTGAATTGTATTATACAGATTGTTTCACAAAATATGGAATGACTAGTTCATTTGAAAAAGGATAGAATAAAATATTGAAGATGGATGACATTGATGATTATTGTTCTATTCATCATCAATGAAGAACTGATCTATTACAAGGCATTCTCATCCTTATAATGCATTTACAATGTATATGATAATATGAAGCTACAAATATTAGCAATAAATGTCATCAGTTGTTAGTTTGTTGATAAATCATTACTAGCGTATCACGTGCTAAGTTTTTCATTTTATAAGCAGTATCCTGTGCTAAGTTGAATTTTTGTTGTTGATGAATATCCTGTGCTAAGTTGATATCTACAGGCTCGTAGCTTTACATGATCTGCCTTGTTCAGTTTGTTATTCGTGTAACCAAAATAGTAAATTAGTAATGGATGTGGCCAAGGTTGTATTGGGGGAGATGTTAAATAAGTAAAGTGTAGAAAGTAATAGAATTGCCTTTTCGGTTACAACATCTCCCGCTCTGGTATTATGTTACAACTCAGGGGATCGCTTTCTAAATCCTATGGGTGATTTTTCACCATCATGAAAAGTCACAACTATCATTAGAATTCGGAGATGTATCTCCGGACACATCTTTCTAACACAATCAACAACATAAATTAATGAACTATCCTTATTTTGTCAAAATTTAGTTGGAGATACATCTTCGTATCAACATTAAGGTGAGTAGGGGGACTCATCTCCATAATTATTTATCGATATTTTTAATAAACAATCACAAGTTTGGTTCACCTAAAAGATTAACTCAAAATATCTTAAAGACAATTTATATAAAGAAAAGATACAACAAAAAGTGTGATTGTGTTTAAAATGCTTGAACAATAATTGTTCTTGATAAATACTATTTGGATAAATCTCTCTGAAACTAGTCAGGTGAGATCACAATCGTCCTATTTGTTAGAAGGTATTCGTCCCACTTTTCTTGTTGGGAGGTCTCCTTTTATATTCGTCCATTCATCAATGACCCTTAAAGAGACGCCCCTTCATATTTCATGTTAAAGTGACCTCTAGTAATGTCTGCTATCTTCCCTAAGTAACGCCTCTTTTCTTAATTTTTGTAACTCCCATGCAATCATGAGGGCGTTTCGTAACTGTCATCTGTGGATGCGCATGTCGCTTTCTAGAACCTTTTCAGAGACTGGATCTTACTTGCTCGTCTACCAGAGTCACTATGTCACTAAATCCGACTTGTTTATGCCTTGTAACAAAAGCTCGGTTTTTGGAAATTTCGGAATGTACATAAGCCCTCCAATTACGAGGTATAATTGGATTGAAGTGTTCGAACAGGAAAATCTTGGAATTCCGTAACCCTTGAGACAATCGCCTATTCGGTAAGTTACCGTGTGATAATAACTTAAAGTATCAATAATGACAAAATTTCTCTCCTTGTCATGATGACTTTTATGAAAACTATAATTTGTCATCATAGTTTTTAGTTCGATACAACATTTTGACCGTTGTAAACTTATTTCCTTAAAAAGACTCTTTCATTTGCTTTTTCACCTAACTAGTAACCTCTCTTTCAAGCTTTGTTGACGAATTTCCCTTCACTTCCTCTGTCAATCGTTCTTTTTGCAAGCTCATGCCTTAGGTATTGTTTTTTTTTTCTCCCATTTTACTCTCTTTTCTTTTACTATTTCTTATGTTTATAATACGAGATTATGATGATTCAAGAGTTCCCAATTTCCCTTATTATTCATAAGAGAAGAAAACTCTAGAATGAATGCATGAGATAGTGTGAGGGTCATCTGGATTGAGTGAAATTCGATCAGATCATTTGGGAAGTTTATGGTGAGATCCCTTCACATAGTAGTAAAATTGACTCAGAGTCTTCTTCGTTAGGCTTCATGGATACTCTGATGGAGTCAACACGGATTGATAAAGAGGTTCTAGTTTTTGACCACAACATCATCGGTGACAATTATATTTCAAAGCTTCACTCTAATAATAAGGTTTCCTCTACCGAAAATGAGGAGGAAGTCGTGTTAGAACCCAGTGTGGTTGGTGAGAGAATCTGTATTACTCAGTCAAAGGGAGTGCTAGATGAGTATTTTTTATTTTTACTCAAGGGTAATCGTGGACTTTAAAATTTGTATCCCATTTACTGACTTTGAATCCGACCTCCTTAAAACCCTAAATGTTTCCTCCTCTCAGTTACGCCCAAATGGTTGGGGCTTTATTAAAGCTTTTGAACTTGTCTACAGACAATAGATATAACTCCCACTTTAGGTTTGTTTTTCTCATTCTTTGAGCTAAAGGGAGCGGAAAAAGAACGTTGGGTTTCCCTTAGTAGAATTTCGAGGAAGAGCTTCCTTCAGGCTTGTAGTACCAATTATAAAGGCATTAAGGATAAGTTCCTTTGAGTGAAGAGTGGGGGAAGGTGTCACCGAGTTATGTATGTATAGGACGGGAACTATCGTTTCCCAATTTATTAGTTGGATAGCCCACTATTGGTTTTTGGTTTTGATTATGACAAATTGAACGCTTTGGAAATCCGAACTTTAACCGTCCTAGATACCTTTCGAGTAGTAAAAGTAAATGACTTGCTACTTATGGTCGAAGACCCATAACAGATTTTTAAATTCCTGAGTAATTCTTATATATGCCATTTATTATTCTTTCGTTATTTTATTATTTTATTTTTCCGAACTTTACTTTGTTTTTTTCTTTCCAGCTCACATGACGAATCTCAAACTATCCGAACAGAAGAAACTGATGGTTGAGGCGAGAGCGTGGTGTGGGGAGAAGACCGTCTCTAAAAGTGACTTGTTGGGTATTTAGTCTCAAACTCTTAAAAGGAGGAAAATGTATGTTGTTAAAGCAGCCTCTGTTGTATCAGAGCCCCACACTATCTCCATTCTACCCTCTGGGAACTCAAAATCGGGCTCTTCAAAGAGGATAAAGACCCTGATGAGTGATCATGTTAGTCAGACCAACTTGGGAATTACTACTCTGATGCAGGATTCAGGCATTAGTTATCAATCTAATCCATCAATCAAATTTAAGTTCTCGTCCAACAATTTTGACGGCTTGAAAATCTTATGATCATCTGAACGCAACAAAAGATATCGAGAAGGTAAAGACTATAGGTGCTCAATAGTTGACTCAAAACCTCGGGGCCTACTTGATGAGATGAGAGTTATGGCCCAAGGTTTGCTTGAAATCGGTGATGCTTATGAGCAGAATGAGATTCGTCTCACTAAGGAGGTTGCCCAGCTGACAGATAGTCTTAAAGTCCATATTGACAAGGTGGAGGTGTTGGACAAACAGTTGTCAGAGATGAAGAAGCAGAAAGAGACTACAGAGTCCCATTTGTTAGAAACAAAGAAGTAAAAGGAGATCGTGGAGTCCAAGTGTTTGGAGCTTGAAGTGATCACTGTCGATTTGGTCCAAGAGATGGAGCAAGTTCAGACTCTCAAGGAGATATTGAAGAAGTCCTTGCAAGCTTCTCAGGTAGACATGCTCTCAACCAACTATGAAGCTTTTGAGAGAGCTAAAACCCAAGCATTATGCATCATGATTGACCTTGATGTGTCAAAGATGAAATTTTTTAAGACTGTCGTGGATGGGCAACCTGTGGATATGGAGGAAGCTTCACATAAAGCTAAGGTTTTGAAGGACGTGACGATCAACAACACGGCCCCCAAGGCTCAAGAAGATGAGCATTATCATGTTTAAGTTTGTTTATGTTTGTTGTTAGTCATCAATGATGATGTGTCTTTTGTAATATTTTGGAATAATGTTTCTTTCTTTTCAGTCATCATGTTTAAGCCCCCTTGAGGGACCCTTTTTGGATATGCTACCATTTATTTTATTATTCAGTTTCAACTTTATTGTGCGTATTTTCTTAGGTATATCATTAAAGTACCCCAACTTGTGTTTTAGCGGCATACTTCAGAACCTGACTTTGTCATGCACTGGTTCTTTTCCCTCAATAGTTTGAACAACTTTACTTCACTAATAATTTAGATTTTTGATTACCAACTCGATTATTATAACCTTCTTTAGATCTTTGATAGTCTTAATAACTCGACCAAGGATTCTTATTTTTATTATCGACTTTATTTAGGTTAGAGGTTTTATTAACCTAACTCGGCCTGAGGTTTCTCATTTACGTGGACGATTGCTTAAGTTAGTGGTTTTATTAACATAGCCCGACTAGAGGTTTCTCATTTGCGTGGCTGATTAATTAAGGCCAGGTGTTTTATTAACTTAACCGGCTAGAGGTTTCTCATTTACGTGACCTATTTCTTAGGTTAGAGGTTTTATTAACTTAATTCAGCCAGAGGTTTCTCATTTACGTGGCCAATTACTTAAGGTCGTAGGTTTTTTTAACTTAATCCGAGTAGAGGTTTCTCATTCACGTGGCCGATTTCTTAGGTTAGAGGTTTTATTAACAAAACTCAGCTAGAGGTTTATCATTTACGTGACCAATTTTATAGGTTAGAGATTTTATTAACATACCCGACCATAGGTTTCTCATTTATGTGGACGATTACTTAAGGTCAGAGGTTTTATTAACTTAACTCAGCTAGAGGTTTCACATTTATGTGATCGATTACTTAAGGTAATCGGTGATGCCCACGACACTCATCACCATTGGCACGATCTTGTCTTTTCTGTAAAAAAGACATAAATATTTGAATTAAGGGTGTCTCATTAACAATTATTTCCCTTGTAAGGGAAAAGAGTACTACCTACAATTTATATTCAAATAACACCATTACACAAGGTTGGAAACATTCCAAACTCTCGCCAATTCTATTTCTTCTAAAATCTTGAGTTTACAAGCTTCATTATTGTTGCACCCCAAAATTTGCCCAACCTTTTCTAACCTAGGTTTATGTTTCAATTGCATAGTCATTTGCATTGTCATCATGTACATAGTGTATTCATCTGCATTGCATAGCATAAGCAAGCTATCTTAATC